TTTCTGGAACATTAAACAAAATAATAATGAAAGACAGCTAAAAAGCATTCAAAGAAGTTCTGAATTCGCATGCCCTTCCGTGGTAGAAAAAGGATATAACAATACAGTCATGCGAATCAGTGCAAAAGATTATATATATATATATATATATATATATATATATATATATATATATATATATATATATATATATATATATATATATATATATATATATATATATATATATATATATAGTTCATTGGCGAAGTATTTTTTAAAATAAACTTTGTCTAAACCGAGAAAATCAAAGCTAAAGTTTATGTAAATTAACATGATTTATTTACATATAAAACCACGACACGCTTATGATTTTTCTTTGTGTTTTCCTCCTGAATTATTAATATATATATACATATATATATATATATATATATATATACCTGGCAAAAATTTTTGCCTGGTTAATCACCTGGCAAAAAGCCATTTAAATAAGTTAATCACTAACACATATTGACGTTTCGACTTTATTGTCTTCTTCCAAGTAAAAGTCGTTAACATAAACCCCTGCTTATATACCCTACCAGAATTATTCATACTCCTCAGAATCCTGTTCAATGTTCAACCCCGAGGGGTACATTGTCATAAGTCTATTAATCCAGTAGATTTCCCTAATCGTTGGTTCTGCTGGGTTGGTTTTATCAATTATGACTATATCACAATCATTCATTAAGCTATTATGGTTTTCACCTAAGAAATGCGAATGAAAAAAGGCCGTTGTGTATGAGCTTTGTTGGACATTGCTTTCCTTTGGAAGAAGACAATAAAGTGGAAACGTCAATATGTGTTGGTGATTAACTTGTAGCTCTTGAGTTAAGAGTACTGTTAGAATAGCTATATGTAGCTTCTTGAGTTAAGAGTACTAGACTTACTAGATGAAACTTTTTATTCTATCAAATATTATTATGAAAATATATTGGCTTACAAACATAATGTAATGAACGTGCTGCTACGAATGTAAAGAGTGTGAAGAGGGTGATGACTGATGTGTATAGTAAAAAAATTAAACAGTTATTAAATATTGTGCTTTTGAACATAATTTCTCATAAGTGATCCTTTCACGGAAAATTCTTTATTTTATAACTGAAAATTATTACTGCTGTGTTATAATAACTACATGGAATCACTTCACAAGCAGGGACGGTGCTAAAGGGTGGTGGAACACCCCCAGTCATCAAGTAGTCAGCAAAATATTGAATCCCAGTCGGCAAAACATGGATTTGGATAGGAAGAAAAGATAAAATATTTGAGTGACACCGATTAAAAATTAAGAATGATAGCTAAAATGTGAAGAAATTTACGAAAACATTACGGAAAAATGGAACGAACAACGGTAGTTAAACACACAATACGATGACAAATATGATGTCCGAAAACATTTTTTGATGTTGTCGGCCGCTAACCCCCTTACCCCCCCCTGAAATATTAACTAGTGTTTGCAGTGCCTCGGCAAGGTTTCCCTTAATACCTCGGCAATAAAAATCTATTTGGTTTTTCGTACTTAGCAGTATCATTGAAGAAACATATTTTATAACCTGCATGCTGTGTCTTGTGAATAAGCTGTGAATGCATGTAAACACGTGCACTATAAACTGACGAACGGTCTGTGCCAGTGTAGGTATAGTGACAATAAGAAGAAAGCTACGGATTAATAGGGCCAGGACGCACCTACCTGAAAATACACTAGCAAACGACGTTTCGAGAGAAATCCCTTCCTCGGGAAGTTGAAGTTGAAGGCGTCGGAGTTTTGCTTGTATTTTTGAATGATACATATACGAGGAGTAGCGGCAGGGGCGGGGGGTGGCTGCTGCCCCTTAAAAAATCGAAGTTGGGCAAATTACAAATTATATACGTAAGTTGGGCAAAAAAATAGGGAAGGAAACAACGTAAAGGCAAGAAATATTTACGATAATAGTCGAAAATGCAAGAGATATGTAAGTTTTACAAAAAATTGCGAATAATTGAATAATTTATCAAGATTAGTGCCAAGTGAATGGTCAAGGTCGTGGTGCATGATTGTATAATATAGATATTCGATTAATCCGCATTTTCTGATAACCCATCTGTTTAATAAGTATACGAATATTCGTAGTAAAAAGAAAAATATTCTCGACACAAATTAACTATATCATTGCCATTGGAAAGAGAAAAGAAAACTATTGAATATCTGACCTGAATTTATAGCAATTGTTTTCGAACAAGGGTTGCATCTTGCATACTGCGTCTCATGAATGAGACATCTATTATGGATATTGTAACTATATATATTTAACAAGTGGCAACCCGACTTTCAAAGCATAAGGAGTTTCAACGGATTTTTTTCCTACTCATTCAATACATTTCCACACTTGAAAGTACTTTCGTCTGCAATGTAACATAACAAACCATGGAAACGTTTTCGTGATGGAAAGAATGCAAGGATGTGAAAGTGTATAAAAGGGACAGTGACAGAAAGATTTTCACAGTCAAATTTTTCATTGCAAACATCAAGCTGAAGATTGAGCATTTTTCAAGAACAATGAAGACGGCTACTTTACTTGTTTTCTTGCTGTTGGGATTGGCATGCACCTATGGTAAGTCACTACAATCTCTAGTGTTTCATGCCATAAATCGTGACATTGTTCTAGTTTTCAGTAGACTTTCTCGTAGGATCGCTTTTTGTTGTACTCGTTCCAGTCATAACTCGTGGAAACTCTTGAATCAGAATAACTCATGTCCTGCAAACTGCAAGGAAACATCGTTGTATACCATTTAAACTGTATATATTATCTTAGATTTTATTTTATTACATGGAAAATAATCGATATCAATGATCTTCATTGTATTCTAGCTGTGACAGCTGAAGAGGAGATCGCCGAAGATGAACCTGCAGGAATGGATGAATTGATTAAGGATGATGATGGTGATTATTTCTATTTTAATTTTCTGTGGTGAAAAGATTGCACTTCCTGAGATCTCCAGATCCTGGGAAAAATTTGCTATGGCAACAAGGCTAAGGACTGTGAGGAATAGTTTCGAACTCTCACCGATATGCATGGCTATTGCTTTATATAAGAGAATCTCCAGCATATGTTAATATTTTTGACGTATATATAATGTATACATAATAATATATTAACGCATTATAATAAATATATATGCAACAGTCAGTCACTTAGTGTTGCCATTGAAATGAACATAACTGGAACGCTTCCTTCAGATAAGCTGCCTATCTTTTTCTTGAAGCCAAATCGGGGTCAAGACCCATGCACGTGTTTATATCATGATTGACTGATTGAGCGCTCTTCGAATGCGTAAAAAGACTGGGACTGGCCTTCAAATTTGACTTCAAATTTCCGATTGGAGGTAGCGTTCTGCCGTTCAAGTTATATTCATTTCAATGAGTGTTGCGCATATAGATAATGGTACAATGAATGGTCAAATTGTTCTTTGTTTTATAGCACATTTTTGAATTTTATTCTAATTTTTAAGTTAATAGTTTAAATGAAATTTGTTTTTTAAATTGACAGAAGAAACTGAAAATGACGAAGAACAAGATGAAGAAAAGAGAAATCCCCGTACGTAGACAATTGTTTTTTAGTTTTATTTATTTTTCTCCCTTTTGTATACAAAAATTTAAAAAAAATAATCGTGTAGCCGGCTCACACAACGCCAGCAACACGAGCCTGCGTTCGGTGTTCGCGTAATTCGGAATACTTCATGTTGAAACAATGCATGTATTTTGAGTATAAAGAGCGCGGTCCCCGAACAAGCACCGCCCTCATATAAGCTCGACATTAAAAATTTAAAGAGCCCACGGCGTTTAAACGAGTGAATACGGTATTTAGTATTTAGTACGGTAAATAGTCTAAAACATCGTTATTTCTAAATTGCTATTCGCATTTCTAAATTGCTATTCGCACTTCTAAATTGCGAAATTAGCTTCGGTTGTCGAGGTCAGCGTGTATAAATGAAGTTTTCTATCTTTTATCTATCTATCTATTCCTGTAGAAATATTTGAGAAAAACACACTTCGAAATCGCATGCAAAACGCGTGAACAAGCTAGATCTCGGCTACATTAACATTTGGTACAGTTTCCAGGGTAGCTAATACCAGAGTAAAACATATAAAAACTTTGGACTGGATGAAATATATTCCAATATGTTCTTTCCTCTAATTACTCGCCCTCCAAGAATAAATATACCAATCAATTTGATGATCACCTAAAAGGTGGTCAACTGTTCACGTGCAGATGTTTCGGATCACATTCCAGTTCTGTATAGTTGCTTTGAAAACAATTAGACAGTAAGGAAAAAAATGACTTTACAATTCGTGACAAATAATTTGCAGGGTCGTACGCAGGATTTTTTCACCAGGGGGGCTATATGCCGAAAAAAGTCCCAAATATCCAAAGAATAATTAATAATGACATTCTAAAAATAGTAAATATAGTTTTGTCTGGGAGTGGGACAGTTGCCTCCCCCTCCCCCAGCTGCGTAAGGCCCTGATAATTTGAATGATTTGATGATCCAAATCAATCACATCAATCTTTCATTCTAATTTTACCCAAATATATAACACATGCTTTTCAATTAAACAAATAAAAAGGAAACATCATTTTATCAGTAAACCATGGCTATCTATAAAGGTATTTTAATATCTATAAAAAGAAGGAAACATTATATAAGCGTTACTTACGCAACCCTACATCTGAAAATGAATTGTTTTACTGAAAAGATACAAAAACAAATTCAATCATTCTGCAGTGAAAATCGTCAAATCATCATATTATGTTAGGAAATTATAAAATGTTAAAACTGATATCAAATCCACTTGGAAGGCTCTTAATGAAGTTATTAATAAAAGACCGAAAACTAATTTTTCCTCATCGTTTAAAAGTAGTATCAACAATACAGAAATTCCAGACCCTGTTGAAATTGCTAATAAGCTAAGTTCTGCAACTATTCAGTTTCTGGTATTGGTCCAAACCTTGCTAAGAAAATTCACCCATCTTCCAAATTCCATCGACAATTTCTTTCAAGTAACTAGTGTTGAAATCGGGGCTTTTTAACAGTCAAAGCCCCCCAATCCCCACGGTGACCCTTCCCACTCAAACATCTTATAAGCAAAACATTGGAAGAAATGTTTTCATAAACATACCATCAGCATTTACTTAACTGAAGATTTAGTGTATCTACAGTATATTGTAACGCTGTATATCCAAAAATCTGTTTCGGAAAACGTACGAAATGCAGTCTCCTATATAGCCAGTATAGTATGGTCCCTAAATGCCCCCCTCTCCCCCGGACAAAATCTTAAATAAAGCCCTTGTTGAAATTATAGAAATTGCCAAAACCTTTCAGTCAAACAAAGCTGCTGGTTATGACAAAATCTTTATGTCAACAATCAAGCAGCTATAAGTATCATTGCTGAGACACTTGTTCACGGCTACTAGTAAAACCAGGAACACCGGAACACCGGAACAACGGAACACTGGAACAGCATCATTCCGGAACACCGGAACACTAAAAATTCTTAATTTGTTAAAAATTTGGAAAAAAAATTACCGGGGGGGGGGGGATGAAATTATTGCTGGAAAAATTATTGCGTAAAACATCCTTTTTAATAATATTCTGACTTGCCGATTCCTACTATAAATTACGAACTGAAGTCAGTCTCAAATCAGAACAAAATTCCCTACTGAATTGAGTTAATAAATTTTAAACATAGTGAAATAGACAAATAGACACACATGCGTTGGAATATTATTTAAGCTATGACTTACAAGGCCTACATTTGTTTGTATTTTTGTCATTTTTATTGACTGAAATGGCGAAAGGTTATTATCATGCTAAAAGTTTCCCTCCCATCGCTGCTTATGTGTTGTGTTAGAAACGATAAAGTTGCTATTACGTATATTAAAGAATTGTAAGTGATCCTAAAGTAAACGCAAACTTTTAACGAGTGATAAAACAAGGAAGCCAATCAACGATAAGTTTGTAAAAACAAGGAAACCAATCAACTGTTGTTACACTATTAATATTGACCAACAGCCGGCCAAAGCCCAAAGGTCATGTTTTCAATAACAAACAAAGTCAGATAGCCATTTATTGTCAACAAATAACACGGTTTGATTTCTTCTTTTCGGGCAAATATTTGTTAATTTGAGACTGATTTCAGTTCGTAATTTATAGTAGAAATCGGCAGGTCAGAATATTAAAAAGCATGTTTTACGCAATAATTTTTCCAGCAATAATTTCATGCCCCCCCCCGGTAATTTTTTCCAAACTTTTAACAAATTAAGAATTTTTAGTGTTCCGGTGTCCTGGAATTCCGGTGTCCCGGAATGATGCTGTTCCGGTGTTCCGTTGTTCCTGGTTTTACCAATAGCCCTTGTTCACTTAATTAATTTATGAATAACAAGTGGTATTGTTCCGGATGAAATGAAAATTGCATGTGTTATTTCGTTGTTTAATTGAAACGGGTGATCGTGCATTATTTTCAAATTATCGACCAGTATCGATACTTCCAAGTTTCTCTAAATTCTTGGAACGGATTACATATAATCGTTTATTAATTTATTGAGATAGATTTAAAATATTATACGAAAATCAATATCAATTTCGCAAAAATCATTCAACTTCGCTTTCTCCGATAGATCTATAGATGATAAAAATTTCAGGTGCAATATATTAATAGATAGGAAATTTCGGTAGGAATTTTCTAGGACTTTTCTAAAGCTTTTGATACTGTGAACCACGATATTCTTTTTAATAATTAAAAATTGCAATGGATAAAGATTTATTTCACGAATAGATTTCAGTTTGTTCAATAACAAGAATATTACTCAATACCTCAAAACGGTTTGTTGTGGGTACCTCGGGGTTCAATTCTTGGTCCTATTTTCTATGTATTATTCAATGACTTATTATATATTTAAGAAACTTGTCTTGTTGAAATTAGATGATATTTGTTTGTTACAACTTGGTCAGTTTATATTTAGTCATAAACATAATCTTTTTCCAAACATAGTCATGCAATTTGATACGTTCGAAGTCAAAACATTTTTCGAATTACCACATGCCTTTGTGTAGAACAAATATTAGACAATTTTCAAAGTTTTTCGATTCTCTTCCTTGTGAGTTGATAAACATAGACTCTTTTTACTTATTTATTTAAAGAAATTGAAAGTTAACTTTTCCTTAATTGTTAGAATGTTAAAATGTGTAATTAGATCCACTATATATTTTGATATATAATGTTCCATAGAATTAAAAGCGAGCCTAAGTTTATAAAAGCCTTTTGGTTTCTTTTTGCGCTCCCTTGTTAACAACGCTGATATATTTAAAATATTTTTTAATTTTGTAGTGTGTTTGTAAATGGTTGGTACTAAATCAAACCAATTAAAACCAATTAATTAATCAATTAATAATAAATTAGTTAATTGTTAATTAATTAAATTAATTAAATCAATTAAATTAATTAAACATTTTCCGAAGCGTTTCAGATTAAATTTTACATTTAATCAATGCTCACAAATGCAAAATAATTTATCTACAATAGTATTTCTGAAATTCATTATTGTTATAGTTAAATGTACTTATCTTTTAATTAACTATTTTGACGTTTTGTACAAAAAATATCACAAAATTTAAAATTTAAAAATATCGAGTTCAGTTGTCATGGCAACACTTGACGACACAACGCAAGCCTGCGGTCAATGTTAGCTACTTACTGATATTTCATATTAAATCAATCTTTGGAAAATGTAGGCGAGGGATGAATTGCTGCATTCATGTATTTTCTAGTATTATGTCGCTGTTTATCAGTTATTTCCAACATAGAGTGCAGTTTGGTTTACAGTAGATCATACGTCTTTTTGTAAACGTCCTTCTAGCGGTTCATCTGTCTTCGAGCTAAAAAAACATGATTTATAACTTTTAACAGTGATTTTAGAATAAACCATTCTGATTGATTAACAAATAGTTCGTCTAATTGCGTATTTATACATAGACTGTGTATGTTTGTCTGCGCAGATAGTTCTGAATCCTGTAACTGTCGCTTTCTTTTTCCATTAAGGCCGTCCCTGCAAAAAATGTATTAAATACAAACAGGGGGGAAAATTCTGTACCAGATCCTGTCGGTGCAAGTGTGATTGCAAGAGAAAAATGTGCCCAAGGGGTTGTGG